TGGTAGCCTCCAGTGGTAGACATCACAAACGCTAAAGCCTGCGACTTCCAATGTCAGACATTACAAACGCTGAAGTCTGTTCCAATGGTGGACATCACAAACGCTGAAGCCTGCGAATTCCAATGGTAGACATCACAAACGCTAAAGCCTGCGACTTCCAATGTCAGACATTACAAACGCTGAAGTCTGTTCCAATGGTGGACATCACAAACGCTGAAGCCTGCGACTTCCAATGACAGACATCACAAAGGCTAAAGCCTGCGACTTACAATGGTAGACATCATAAACGCTGAAGCCTGCGACTTCCAATGGTAGACATCAAAAACGCTCAAGCCTGCGACTTCCAATGGTTGACATTACAAACACTAAAGCCTGCGACTTCCAATGGTAGACATCACAAACGCTGAAGCCTGCGACTTCCAATGGTAGACATCACAAACACTAAAGCCTGCGACTTTCAATGATAGACATCACAAACGCTAAAGCCTGCGATTTCCAGTGGTAGACATCATAAACGCTGAAGCCTGCGACTTCCAATGACAGACATCACAAATGCTGAAGCCTGCGACTTTCAATGGTAGACATCACAAACGCTGAAGCTTGCGACTTCCAATGGTAGACATCACAAACGCTGAAGCCTGCGACTTCCAATGGTAGACATCACAAACGGTAAAACCTGCGACTTCCAATGACAGACATTACAAACGCTACAACCTGTGACTTACAATGGCAGACATAACAAACGCTAAAGCCTGCCACTTACAATGGCAGACATCACAAACGCTAAAGCCTTCGACTTCCAATGGTAGACATCACAAACGGTAAACCCTGCGACTTCCAATGACAGACATCACAAATGCGGAAGCCTGCGACTTTCAATGGTAGACATCGCAAACGCTGAAGCCTGCGACTTCCAATGGTAGACATTACAAACGCTAAAGCCTTCGACTTCCAATGGTAGACATCACAAACGCTGAAGCCTGCGACTTCCAATGACAGACATCACAAACGCTAAAGCCTGCGACTTTCAATGTCAAACATTACAAACGCTTAAGCCTGCGACTTCCAATGGTAGACATCACAAACGCTAAAGCCTGCGACTTCCAATGACAGACAACACAAACGCTGAAGCCTGCGACTTCCAATGGTAGACTTCCAATGACAGACATCACAAACGCTAAAGCCTGCGACTTCCAATGTCAGACATTACAAACGCTGAAGTCTGCGACTTCAAATGACAGGCATCACAAACGCTAAAGCCTGCGACTTCCAATGACAGACAACACAAACGCTGAAGCCTGCGACTTCCAATGGTAGACATCACAAACACTGAAGCCTGCGACTTCCAATGACAGACATCACAAACGCTAAAGCCTGCATCTTCCAATGGTAGACATCACAAACGCCAAAGACTGCAACTTCCAATGGTAGACATCACAAACGCTAAAGCCTGCGACTTCCAATGACAGACATCACAAACGCTGAAGCCTGCGACTTCCAATGGTAGACACCACAAACGCTAAAGCCTGCGACTTTCAATGTCAGACATTACAAACGCTTAAGCCTGCGACTTCCAAAGGTAGACATCACAAACGCTTATGTCTGCGACCTCCAGTGGTAGACATCACAAACGCTAAAACCTGCGACTTCCAATGGCAGACATCACAAACGCTAAAGCCTGCGACTTTCAATGTCAGACATTACAAACGCTAAAGCCTGCGACTTCCAATGACAGACATCACAAACACTGAAGCTTGCGACTTCCAATGGTAGACATCATAAACGCTGAAGCCTGCGACTTCCAATGGTTGACATTACAAACACTAAAGCCTGCGACTTCCAATGACAGACATCACAAACACTGAAGCTTGCGACTTCCAATGGTAGACATCACAAACGCTGAAGCCTGCGACTTCCAATGACAGACATCACAAACACTAAAGCCTGCGACTTCAAATGTAAGACATCACAAACACTAAAGCCTGCGACTTCAAATGTCAGACATCACAAACACTAAAGCCTGCGACTTCCAATGACAGACATCACAAACACTGAAGCTTGCGACTTCCAATGGTAGACATCATAAACGCTGAAGCCTGCGACTTCCAATGGTAGACATCACAAACGCCAAAGCCTGCAACTTCCAATGACAGACATCACAAACGCTGAAGCGTGCGACTTCCAATGGAAGACATCACAAACGCTAAAGCCTGCGACTTTCAATGTCAGACATTACAAACGCTGAAGCCTGCGACTTCCAATGGTAGACATCACAAACGCTTAAGCCTGCGACTTCCAATGGTAGACATCACAAACGCTGAAGCCTGCGACTTCCAATGACAGACATCACAAACGCTGAAGCCTGCGACTTCCAATGGAAGACATCACAAACGCCAAAGCCTGCAACTTCCAATGACAGACATCACAAACGCTGAAGCCTGCGACTTCCAATGGGAGACATCACAAACGCTGAAGCCTGCGACTTCCAATGACAGACATCACAAACGCTGCAGCCTGCGACTTTCAATGGTAGACATCACAAACGCTGAAGCCTGCGACTTCCAATGGTAGACATCACAAGCACTAAAGCCTGCGATTTTCAATGATAGACATCACAAACGCTAAAGCCTGCGAGTTCCAGTGGTAGACATCACAAACACTAAAGCCTGCGACTTGCAATGACAGACATCACAAACGCTGAAGCCTGCGACTTCCAATGGTAGACATCACAAACGCTAAAACCTGCGACTTACAGTGGCAGACATAACAAACGCTAAAGCCTGCCACTTACAATGGCAGACATCACAAACGCTAAAGCCTGCGACTTCCAATGTCAGACATCACAAACGCTGAAGTCTGCGACTTCAAATGACAGGCATCACAAACGCTAGCCCCTCAAACGCTAAAGCCTGCCACTTACAATGGCTGAAGCCTGCCACTTCCAATGGTAGACATCACAAACGCTAAAACCTGCGACTTACAGTGGCAGACATAACAAACGCTAAAGCCTGCCACTTACAATGGCATACATCACAAACGCTAAAGCCTGCGACTTCCAATGTCAGACATCACAAACGCTGAAGCCTGCGACTTCCAATGACAGACATCACGAACGCTAAAGCCTGCGACTTTCAATGTCAAACATTACAAACGCTTAAGCCTGCGACTTCCAATAGTAGACATCACAAACGCTAATGTCTGCGACTTCCAATGACAGACATCACAAAAGCTAAAACCTGCGACTTACAATGACAGACATTACAATGGCAGACATCACAAACGCTAAAGCCTGCGACTTCCAATGGTAGACATCACAAACGCTAAAACCTGCGACATCCAATGACAGACATCACAAAAGCTAAAACCTGCGACTTACAATGGCAGACATTACAATGGCAGACATCACAAACGCTAAAGCCTGCGACTTCTGCTCCAAGACACCATTTATACGACATCCACTGTTAAAACACCAAATTCGTCCAACTTCCATAGGTTGACATCGTAAATCCAAATCTGTCCTGACAACCTTACGCAAGCTTGAATCTGTTTCCATTACGTTTCGTTAGGTTCCTCCATCCTGTCTTCTCGCCATACCTAAATGTCTGGAGGAACTTGGCCACAACACAATGTTTGGTCATATGTCATTTCTTACTGCCATTTCATTCGTTTGCCTCGCAATATCTCCAACGGATTTGTCGTGATCCAAATTTCTTCTCCACTTCCTCTTTTCTCTCATGAAGTTCACAGAGTTTGGTACCTTTGTGACTGTCAGCTTGCTGACTTTCACTTACAACGTTTAAACGCCTGGTTACTGAAAGATTAACATCAAGGTTTCTGTCTCTTATATTTCTATCTCTAATCAACAAATGCTTCTTGCAAAGAAGGATTTTTTCTTGTGTCTCAAAAAGAACAGGTTTCCGAGGGTTTCTGAGGATGTCTTATGCTAACTGCATTAGTTGCCTTCTAAATGTTAGTTGACATTCTGCTTTAATCTCTTTCACTTATGTCATCTTGCTTCTCTGTGTCTCGAAGTTCACGTCTGCGTTCTAAGCCCCAGATTTGCTTGGTTACCGGACCATGGCACCGCTCTGCTACCGTTCCACCTATCTACCGTACCGAAGTATGAACCTGATCTTGAATAGTCTTTCCATCGTTCCTGTTTTTCAACTGTAACCAATCGCAACTTGGTAACCTTGGTTTCCTCTTTCTTTGGGACAAGGCTGCTATGTGGTATTTGATTCTTTGCCCATGACATTTCGTCTCGGTCGCGTAGATTACATCTTCCTTTTAAGATTGTCTTCCTTGTTATTGTCAGGCATGCATATCATCTATCAAGACTCGCTGTTATATGTCATACTCTCGAATTCCCACGCTAATTTAGCCGTGGAGTACCGTGGAGCAACTGCAGAAACCAAAATGGCGCATCAACAATATTCCCACTTTTACTACTTGCTTTGATGTATTCCCCAACAGAAGCACACCCTGAAACATGTTTGTTACTCTAGACTAAATTACTAATTCTAACTGCAGTGTGTTCATGTAATTTCAAACGCTTTATATAGAAATACATATTAAATTCTAATAATTTAAACATTTCCATTGTTCTCGATTATGCGTTCTTGAAATAGACATAGGACTAGATTTCTACTGTTTTGGTCACGTTTCTGTTTTGGTGCATTATTTTCGCAAATAAAATCGATCTTGTTATGTAAACATTTCAGGTAGGTTCATATATTTGATGATTGCATCGATTTAAAGTCTCTTTTAGCACGGACTTATATAATTCCGTGGTTTTAGTGATAATGTTAAGTAGCATGAGTGTAACACTTGACCAATATTATGTGTAACGTATCTGTTGGAAATGCTAACGTATATGTTTAAGGACCGAAATGAGTAACCTAAAACGCTGAACACATTTGAATACCTATGGACATTGCAAAAGTGAGTTGTGTGTACATATTACTGAAATACTAAAAGCTTTTATCGCATTTTTACTTTAGGTCTCTGTACAGATGGAACATGTACAGATGGGACCATCCCAGGTGTGGACCAGCCTCCGGAATTCTGGGAAGTATTCACATCTCCGCAATAAAGTCAGAATTTCATGTGAACAATGTCGTTTATTTCAACAAAACTTACATAATTATAAACAGTAAAGTATTTTTCTTCTATATGCCTGAAAACAACATGTTATTTGTCTCTATTTTTCTAATGATATGTGAAAAACCGTGATTTTCACGGTTGAGTGCGGCGAAAAAGTTTTACCCCCTTGAAATACACTATCGTCAATTTCAAAATTATCAGACTATTCAAAGTTTTTATCCAAAGTGTCACATTTAGAAAACGGTAGTTTGGTTTGATTAAACTTTAAACCAATGAAAATAACGATCGCGTTGTTGAGAAATTACAATATCTCTGTTTCTTTGGTACGGGGTTTTAGTCCGGCCCGGGTCCGGGAACGGCGTACAAGATTTACCTACCCTACTACCTACCTGAAACCGAAAAGGCAAATTCGTCCGCCAATATGTTTAAGCGTGGTTATGGCCGGTCTTTTTATTTATTACAAACCTACATAACGAATATAGATCAGTGAAAATGAGCATATGCAAGTTATCACTGTTGTATAATGTTTCTTTTATTTTCATTATATGAGCCTATGTGCACTATTTCTTACGAAGAGGAAGTCGGATGTAAAAATGTTTAATGTGTTGTCTGGCCCGAAAAGGCACCAATTTCAAAGATTGTTGCACTAGGCCACGTACAAATTTTCTACAAAAGCACTTGTCGAGGAAAAAATATGTTGTGGAACTGAGTTAACTTATTTGAGGGTAGGACGTATCTATATTATTAAGGTATTTCTTAGTTAATTGACAACCTCTGAAGACGGACATTCCGAATATCTATGTTAACTCTGACGTGCCCATACTCGACTGTCGATATGTAAACAAACCACATGCAATGCTCCGGAAGTGGATATGGAAAGGATTATATTTGACAGTTATTTAAGCTGTTTTTAAATGTGTGTGAATTAGTAAACACTTGATTACATGAATTTGACGAAAATAATGTGAAATCGGCAACATATTGTCCTTCCCGATTGTCGGGTTTGCTTGTAATTACAGAATATGGTGCATTGACGTTGATTGTTCCATTCTGATCGCGAACCGACTAAAATTCTAAATACTACTGAGCATCGCAAAACCTCACCCGATGTTAATGAGGCATAAAAGACATGTAGGTAAGGTGATATTCCGTTTACTTACAATTTTAGACCAAACGTAGGCGTCATACAAATAGAATTACATCGACACTGAGAAAACACGATTGTTAGCAGTAACCTCCAAACTTCCCCAGGCTTCGGGAGATTCTACTAGAAAATGTTACAGTAGAAATTTACCACTTTTTATTTGGCTAGTGCAGTGTTACAGTCAGCAGAAGCCCGGACAATCCTTCTTCGTCTCCCTGTCACTGGGTCTGCAATGTAAATGAGATTTGATTTAATATGAAATGTAAACATGTTAGATTTATAAAACTGACTGCTAATTATATTACTGTATACAACTTGAATATATTTTTCTACAACTCCCTCCTACAAATTAATCTTTAACAAAAGTGTTAATTCTATATAAGTTGACTTTCACTTTCGGTTATTTTACAGTGGTACAAGTCTTCCTTAACTAGCAGAGTGTGACAAAAGCCACAAGAGTAAGTCAGGTGATATCAACGGTCCAACATGGAAAAGAAAACTCAGTCAAAAGTATCCAAGAAAAGCAATCCTGTGCAAAAACAGAAGGTATTCAAGCAGTCCATTAACTGTATAATTCTTGGAAATATAATAAACAATACATACAGCATTTGATAATGCATCCCAAACCTGCACCAGTTTCGGACATAGAATGAAAAGAAAATATTTATTAAATGCAACTTTAATTCTTTATATTGCAATTAGTTCTAAAGAATATTATGTCAATTTAAAGTCCAAATACTGTATACCATAAAGTTGTGATCATGATTTTACAATTCCTGCTACTGTATAAGCCTCAGCACATGTTTCCTTTTATACAGGTTAGCCGAACTAAGATAATGGGTGTGAAGTCGCGAGTGAAGGCTGCTCCTCTCAAGTAAGTTTCTGCTTTGTTAAAGAATTTTCAAGTACGCACATTTTGTAAATGTCTAAAGACACAGCAGTATGAGTTCTTTTTAGCTCACCTGGCCCGAAGGGCCTGAAGTGAGCTTATGCCATGGCGCAGCGTCCGTCGTCCGTCAACTTTTCCCTTTAAAACGCTGCTTATATAGTCCTTAACGGCTCAGAGGATTTTGACCAGATTTGGTCTGGAGCATCATTGGCCAAAGGGTTCTCAGTTTTGTATAACAGAGGGTATGGTCCCCATGGGGGCAGAGGGGCAGGGCCAAATAGGGGTAAAATAGGTAAATCTTTAAAAAATCTTCTCAACCAATAGAAGGATTTTGACCAAATTTGTTCTTCAGCATCTTTGATCAAAGGAGTCTCAAGTTTGTATAAACGGAGGGTGTGGCCCCTCTGGGGGCAGAGGAGTGGGGCCCAATAGAGGAAATAGAGAGAGAAAAAAATCTCGTACTATACAAGTAAAGGGATTTAAACCAAACGTGGTCTGAAGCATGCTTAGGGAAAACAAAACTCAATTATTTTATTTGTATAAAAAGGTGCATGTGAGGCCCAACAGGAAAAATAGAGGAAAATTGAACATCGTTCCTTTTTTTTTTTTAATAATGAAGGGATTTTCATCAAACTTCTTCTAGAACCCCCTCCCTCGGAGGTCCAGTCCAGACCAATCCCTGGAGGCTACATTGGCTTTCTTGGTGTCTTACCCACCAAAACAGATTTACATGTAGTTCTTCTGGCAACTTTGTTTCTTGTACTCATTTGATAAACCTGTATGGTACTCAGCTGGTTTTAAATTGAAAATAAAATACCAGGTGAGCTATTAAGGCCCCTGGGCCTCTTGTTTAACTAATGAGGAGGATGTCTGATGGTACCTGTTGTTTGAGGACATCATCCTCAAACAACAGGTATTGTGACATCCTCAAACAACAGGTATTGTGACATCCTCAAACATCAGGTATTGTAGCATCCTCAAACAACAGGTATTGTGACATCTTCAAACAACAGGTATTGTGACATCCTCAAACATCAGGTATTGTAACAACCTCAAACATCAGGTACAATATACTATGATGTTTACAATATTCCAGGGGTGCAGGGAACGAAAGTGAGCGTAACCCCTGGATATCGAGGATGTCGAAAAACAGGAACGATGGAAAGACTATTAAAAATCAGGTTCATACTACGGTACGGTAGATAGGTGGAATGGTAGCAGAACGGTGCCAGGTAGCAGTGTACAGTAGCGTATGGTGGCCATTGGTGATATTTTTGTACAATGAATAACCCCTGTAATATTACATGTATCAAAACTTAAAAAAATAATCAGCACTAAAATTGGCATATAAATGATGAAATGGACTATGTGGGCTTCACATTTAAAAATAATTAAATCAAATTTGGTTTGAGACTACATTTTTGGCCATTTACAAATCTGTGTCTACACAACAAAACCTAGCTTTTCATGTAGTCTATTTTTGTACTGGGCACATGTGTAAATATTGTGAAAAATCCAACGGTATGACCTATGTTAAAACGTGAGTATTTCTGTTACCGAGAAGGTTATTAGCTCACTGTGTCCGAAGGACCAAGGTGAGATAATACCATACTGTGGCAAACGTCGTCCGTCCGTCGTCCGTCCGTCAACAATTTCTTTAAACGACTTCTTCTTCTTAACCACTGATTGGAATTTAACTAAATTTGATTGGAAGCATCCCTAGGTGGTGGGGATTCAAAATTGTACAAATGGTGGGGCTGACCCTCCAGGGGGCTGAGGGGCGGGGCCAAAAGGGGGCATTTTGGCTATATTGATACAAACGACTTCTTCTGTAGAACAATGCACTGGATATCAACCATATTTAATCAGAAGCATTCATGGGAGGCAGGGATTCAAAATTGTACAAATGGTGGGGCTGACCCCCCGGGCTAAGGGGTGGGGCCAAAAAAAAAATATTACTTGGAAATGGTTGAGATATATATATACATATAACCATATATATAATTGCTGATTATAAAGAGAAGAATCCACATTTGCTTTCAGGATGGCCCTAGGGTCTGGCCTCACCCTTGGAGACTTAACCCCTGGGTCATAACTTTAAAACGGTTAAGATCCCCACCCTAAAACTATATATACACTTTTTGGGCATAAAGAGACGAATGCAGTCATGATATTAGAATTGACCCCAGGGTCTGCCCCACCCTTGCAGTCATAACCCCTGGGTCATAACTTTGAAACAGTTGAGATCCCCAACCCAAAACTATATATACAAACGCTGGGCAAAAAGAGACAAATGCAGTCATGATATTAGAATTGATCCTGGGGTCTGGCCACAACCCTAGGGACCTAGTTTCTTAGTCACAGCTTGGAAACAGTTGAGATCCCCACCCCATAACCATACATAAAATTGCTGGGCATAAAAGATCAAATACAGATATGCTCCAAGGATTGGCCTTGGGGTCTGGCATATTCACTTGGATCTCATTTGGAGAATATTTTGCCATGATTGCTCAGATTTCCAGGTGAGCGATACAGGCCCTCTGCCCTCTTGTATTTAATTTAGGCCAGGTTTTAAGAAAAAATTACCGCTTGCGTGGGTCAAATTTTGGATTAAAAATCATGTTTTTGTTTTGCATTTTTGGATGTTTTTTGATGTGGTTTTCACAAGTCCCAAATCTGGGGAAATCACTTTTCGAAAAAAAATAAAAAATTCTGAAAAAACCCGATTCAAAATGTAGTTTATAAATATATATGTAGGTGTGTTGTGCAGGATGAATCCGCTATCCATGTTTATCCGAGACATGCCCTTTATTTTTAGGATCAAGCTGTTTCTACTGTACTCTGCTACCCCATGGTCCGGTAACTAGGACAATTGATTGGCGGAAGGCATACTGCTCCAGGGTCATACTTGTTTCACATGTCAAACCAAATTGAACGTACACATTTGTCTGCATGACCTTTTTGTTGGCAACAAATTTGTTTTGTTTCAGACAAAAAACTGCTGTTGCAATGATGAAAAATCAGGGAAAGAGTCGCCCAGCCCCAATTCCAGAGCCCGGCTTTGCCATGTATTCTACAGATTCTGAGGAAGCATTTTCATTCAGCAACGAAAAAGATACGTGTGCTAAAGTTCTTACCATGCTGAGAAAGAAATCTAGAGGTAAGTTACACCTTACAGATTTGCTTAGCTATGCTCTGATTACCATACACTTTCACATTAATTCTAAATATTAATATTTTGGGTTGAAAACATTTCCTCTCTTGATTTGAAATAATAAATCACATATATTTTAACCAATGTACAATATTTCTAGCTTATAGATCACATAAGTTTATTTATTTACAACATGTAGAGAGATATCAGCAACAAATTTGAGTAAACAATTCTAGTATTTTAACTCATGTCGTCTAAATGAAAGTGATTATTTTGTGCTGGTGCAGTGTTGGCCATATCCCATCCGTTATTATCTAACACTTACACGTCTACACTACCAGCTGATTGGTCGTGTACGGACTGTCAGTATAATGAGATCAGGTGGAACACGTAACAAGTGGTGTTACATAAAGCTAGCTTTGTCAAACTGTGGACATATAGCAGTAAACCCTGTAGGATATTAATGGAGTTCTATTGTGATTGTATTTGACCTAGTCTCAGTCCAGATTTTACCAGTAGTTGAACATGTTCACGGCACTGTTGGATTCAGGTTTGAATCCTTGGAAAGTTTGTTGCAAACAATTACTCAGTATACTGTTTAAAGTTCAAATAAATAACTTTTACCTGTAAGCAAGATTCCATTTGATGTGCATTTCAATTCATCAAAGTCATACATGTTACTGAGAATAATGACACGCTAGAAAACAAAACAAATCTGTAACTATTCAAAAGATACGAAAACCAAACAATTGTGGCTAAGTGATAATAAAGAAACATATCAAACTTGATACGTCTTATCTAAAGCATATAACTGAGGGGTCAAACTCCACACATCTGTAGCCAATAGTACTAGTAGTAAATACACAGTATCACATAGAATGATGAATACCTTGTCAGTCGTAACTTCGAGCAAGCTTGTCAGCCGTAACTACGAGCAAGCTTGTCAGCCGTAACTACGAGCAGGAAAAAACTGTTTTTCATCCTATAACTAATCACTAATCTGTATACATTTACACCCTCAGTGTGTGTTTCCTTTCTGTCCTTCATACAATGTAGTTGACACTGACAACAGGAGGCCGGGAAGCTCCGGTAACCCCGCAGGGAAACCAGGCTCTGCTGAAGCTACCAGTAGACCAACAGTAGACGACAACTCTGCACGTCCTCCTATAGTTATTCCTTGTGTGACTAATGATGGTGTGATTTTGCTTTGTTTCTTAACTAAAATAATAGATATCAAAAATGTTTTTAATGTTCAAGTTATGTGCTTTGTTTCCTTTACTTGATTTCTGCTTTAAAATATTTTTCCTTCATGAAATGGAAAGTTCCATTTTGTGTATTTGCAGGATTTATCTTATTAAAGGAGCCAGCTCATTATCAGTAGTGCAGGTCGTCTTGTTGGTCCATATGACATATATTGCAGCTCGAGCTATATCAGTTCAAAAGGCAAACTTTTTCAATAGCATTTTCAAAAAATGTGAATGATATTGAAATTGGACAGGTATTCACTGTCCTAGACATAAGAACAAGACACTATTGTAAGTTTTCAATTTAGTACATGGTAATTATCAAAGGATAATGATCAAGGAGCATGAGGAGGACTACTGACAAGGAGTCTAAATGTCACAGGTTGAATTTTCAATAACTTTACATGTGTGCAAAAATAGTACATCTGGATAATCTTAGATATTATTGTATTCTTAATTTTCAATTCAAGAATGGAATGTATAAAATATATCTGCTGTTTAGTTTATAAATAAAGCACACTTAAAGAATAATTGTAATATTTTTATGAAATCATTTTCATCCCGTTTTGAACAGATGTCCAGCCGACTCCTGGTTATGTGTCAGCTATGTCTATCTTGGGGAACACCCCCTTTAACAACAGACTGGCATCATCCACACCAGACCCTGACCGGCCCCAGATCATACCAGAGAGGGATACCAATTCTACAAATGTGGTTCCTTATGAAGCCTACAGTATAGGGACCACTACACTGGACATTCAAAAGGAGCGCTATTTTCAAAGAATGAATGACCAATTCTTCAGTAGTCATGGACCTAAATCGGTCATACCTCACAGCGGGAATGGTGTGTACATATCCCCAAGTCAAGGTTTCCAAGTAACCAACAATGATCAAAATGAGGCCAAAGGTTTAGACAAACGTGACAGTGACATTGGAGCCTTTCAGGCATATATACCAAGGGAGTCAACAGGGTTTTCAACTGTGCCAGTTAATGCTGCTGGAAATATGCCAGAGCATGTTTGTGCAACACAAGGGAACAACCAATCAGGTAGCTCTGGTGATAAAAGCAGAACCTCACTTCTTCAGACCACTGGAAACAGCAGTGGCACAGAGTACATATACTTACCTAGACCGGTAGCTAACTCGGATATAGATGACCGAAATATCCCACCAGGATTTCAGTTTCAAAATGGTCTTTACCAGATCCGGCCACATGGCCCCATGACAGCAGGAGCCCCAGGTGAGGAAAGACAAATACACAATGCTCAACTCATACCTGTTACTTCAACTTCTACCAATCCACCAAACCAGGCCCATTTACATTCAAACCACAGATCCCATAACAACTATATTTGGGAAATACCTGAGAGAGATGACAGTGGACCATTGAAATCTCCCAGACGAGGTCATGTGATCAAGGATACTGTTCCAGACACTATATCAACAATTGATGGATCTGTTTCTGGTACAAACACATTTCAGAACCTTACCCCTCGTAGTACAGTCTCTGAAAGCAGCAACACATTTCCTCCAGCAAACGAGTCAAAAGGTCAGAGTTTCAATGAAAAGTCAAAGGTAACAGCAGATTTAAAAACCAGACAAAATGTTAAAGGTGCAAAAGGAAACTCTTTATTAAATGATTGCAGTGAAAATACAACAGGTTCTTTTCAAACACAGTCTTCAAAATTTAGTGCAGAAAATGCTGGAGGTTGTAATGGTACATCATCAGCTGGGACTCTGTACCATCTGATTCACACAGACAAAGGCAAAGAACTAGTGCCTGTGTCCTTAGTACACTACCCAAGCTTAGCACATATCCCTGGGCCAGAACATCACGATGGCAAAGGTCAGTGTCACAATACAAGCAGTCAGGGTCATGTTCCGCCAAACATTGATATTCCTGTGTCTGTGCTGACAAGTGAAGCTGAGTTGGCAGGCCTCACACATCAGAGCTCTGCTGTAAAGCGTCAGGACAGTGTTGCTGGACAGCCCAATCCCTGGAGTGGAGTGAGACTAGACGCTGGTATGAAGAGAGTCCGATACTTGCTGGGAGAGATGAAAGAATGTGGTAAAATAAACAGTATGTACAATTACCTTATTTTGTAGTATACCAATTCTGTTGATTTTCTTCATTGAATTTTCTTGAACCATGTTACCATGTTTTTCAGAAGTATCATTGTCCAAGTTTACTGTTCCATTCTGAGTGTAGCATCTGCTTAGTAAATGTGTAGTGCCTGTATCTATGGGTTTCCCACTCAAAAAGTATTTTTCAAACATTCAGTTGAAAATTTTACAGGATGTCTTTTTAGAGGTTTGTGATATTACTTGTATACCAGTATACTGTTGTATGGCAGAGTCAATACATATTACCGTTATACCAGTATACTGAGTCATGGTAGAGTCGATACAATATACGCATATACTGTGTCATTGCAGAGTCGATACAAGATACCCATATACTGTGTCACGGCAGAGTCAATACAAAATACACTGTACCAGTGTATTGACTCTGGCATACAACAGTTTAACGGAAATATGTATTGACTCTGCAATACAACAGTTTAACGGAAATATGTATTGACTCTGCCACACAACAGTATACTGGTATAATGATATATTGTAATGACTCTGTATGAATTATTCCAGTATACTGTTGTGTGGCAGAGTCAATACAGTATACCCATATACTGTGTAATGGCAGAGTCAATACAGTATACCCATATACTGAGTCATGGTAGAGTCGATACAATATAGCCATATACTGTGTCAAACCAGGCTCAATACAATATACCCGTATACTGTGTCATGGCAAAGTCGATACAATATACCCATAGACTGTGTCATGGCAGAGTCGATACAAGATACCCATATACTGTGTCATGGCAGAGTCAATACAATATACACTGTACCAGTGTATTGACTCTGCCATATACCACAGTATACTGGTATAATGATATATTGTAATGACTCTGTATGAATTATACCAGTATACTGTTGTATGGCAGCTGAGTCAATGCAATATACCTATAGGTAAAATTTAAAAAAACAACATACCACAGGTGTTAGAAATTATGCAATATAGAATTTGTTTTCTTTATTTCTAGTATTAAGAGAGAACATAGTATCAACATATTTAAAACTGGATCAACACTTGCTAAAACAAAAGTCTTTTTAACCTTAAGCAATATATTGCAATATGTAATGCAATTTTCAGTTAGATATTACAATATATTGCAATATGGGTTTGCTTCCCAAAACCCAGCCTAAAACCTTTTTGTCAAAACGAGGTACTGATAGATTTCTCTCAGTCACCTAATTAAACCTTAGTGGTAGACGGTGTAAATAGCACTTGAGTTAGGAATTACCACTGATGGACATGCCCCCTCTCATATTTTTCTAGTGTAATTTTTTTTGCATAAGGTTTGATTCTTAGCGTAACTTTTTTGTTTGTAAAAGGTTTGATCCTTAGCAGAACTTTTATTGTTTGTATAAGATTTGATCCTTAGCGTAACTTTTTTTATGTTTGTATAAGGTTTGTGTAGTGTTGAGTAGCACTTGCACAGGTCTGTATTCTAAATTAGACAAAAAATGTCACATTTTTACTACAAACTTTATACTGGGATATAATACAAAAAATGAAAAATTCAAAAGCATGAATACATGTGTTTGGTTAGCTGTAGTCTTATATAGCTGAATTTATGAATGCTGATTCTTCTGTCTATAAACATTCAATTTGTAGAGGACATAGAGATTGGTCGCCTGGCAAAGGAAATAGAAAAGTCACTGGATTCCACTCCCCAACTAAGTGCTACATTCAGTCTTCAGGCCGAGATAGATTTGGCTCTACAACCACTCCGTAACGAGAATGCACAGCTTCGCAGGTACAAACACTCACAGTCAATGTAGTCTTTATATATGTAAAGTCAATATATATCTTCAATAAGATTTATCAGTTTGGAAAGTTTTACTTTTTACACAAACAATGTACATATTAAACGTGTCACAACGTTTCAAGACCGACTGGTCCCTTTGTCAAGCTATATATATGACTAAGTGAGTGATTTGTGTTATTTATGTGTACAACAATGTGACGAAATTGTATATTTTTTCATGTCACTCGACCCAAGACATTTCTGCTATCGATAGGGAGCGTATACACACTGCATCAGATAGGTTACAGGTATGGTGTAAATCTCACCCCTCCCCTGTTATGTCAGTATCGGGTCTTGCAGATGACTCAGCTGTTGTCCCCCCTTGTCTCTGTTCATGTTTCGAGTTTTCCTGATTTTTATTGCTTCATTGATTTGTCTCATTTTTGTGTGTTGGTCCCTTTAAAATCAGGAAAACTCAGAACATGAACAGAGACAAGGGGGGACACCAGCTGAGTCATCTGAATAACCCGATACTGACATAACAGGGGAGGGGGGCAAGATCTACACCCTACCTCTAACCTATCTGATGCAGTGTGTATATGCTCCCTATCGGTAGGCGAAATGTCTCGGGTTGAGTGACATGAACAAGAGGAGCTGTATCGCTCACCTGGATATCTAAGCAATCATGGCAAAATAATCTCCAAATGAGATCCAATGGAATATGCCTGACCTCAAGGCCATCCTTGTAGCATATCTGTATTAGATTTTTCATGCCCAGCAATTTTATGTATAGTTATGGGTTGGGGATCTCGACTGTTTCTAAGCTGTGACTCAGAAACTAGGTCCCTAGGGTTGTGGCCAGACCCCAGGATCAATTCAAATATCATNCCCCCCTTAGCCCGGAGGCTCAGCCCCACCATTTGTACAATTTTGAATCCCTGCCTCCCATGAATGTTACCAACCAAATATGATCGATATCCATGGCATAGTTCTACAGAAGAAGTCGTTTATAGCAATATAGCCAAATTTCCCCCATTTGGCCCCGCCCCTCAGCCCCCTGGGGGGTCAGCCCAACCATTTATACAATTTTGAAACAGAATCCCCACCACCTAGGGATGCTTCCAATCAAATATGGTTGATATCCATCACTTAGTTCCAGAGAAGTCGCTTAAAGCAACATAGCCAAATAACCCTTTTTGGCCCCGCCCCTCATCCCCACCATTTGTACAATTTTGAATCCCTGCCTCCCATGAATGCTTTTGATCAAATATGATTGATATCCAGTGCATTGTTCTACAGAAGAAGTCATTTATAGCTATATAGCCAAATTGCCCCAATTTGGCCCCGCCTCTCAGGTTCCTGGGGGGTCAGCCCAACCATTTGTACAATTTTGAATCACCACCACCTAGGGTTGCTTTCACTTAAATATGGTTGATATCCAGTGCACAGTTCTACAGAAGAAAACGCTTAAAGCAATATAGCTAAATAACCCTTTTCGATGGCCCCACCTTGATGCTTCCAGTAACATTTAGTTAAATTCCAATTAGTGGTTAAGAAGAAGGAGTCGTTTAAAGTAATTGTTGACGTACGGATGGACGACGGACGCCACGGTATGGCATAAGCTCACATTTAATTCGTACATTGTTTGTTTAAAAAGTAAACCTTTGATATCAATCTACCTTTACTTCCTACAACCTGTCTACCTTTACTTCCTACAACCTGTCTACCTTTACTTCCTTCAGCCTGTCTACCTTTACTTCCTACAACCTGTCTACCTTTACTTCCTTCAGCCTGTCTTCCTTTACTTCCTACAGCCTGTATACTTTTACTTCCTACAAACTGTCTACCTTTACTTCCTTCAGCCTGTCTACCGTTACTTCCTACAGCCTGTCTACCTTTATTTCCTACAGCCTGTCTACCTTTACTTCCTACAGCCTGTCTACCTTTACTTCCTGCAGCCTGTCTACCTTTATTTCCTTCAGCCTGTCTACCTTTACTTCCTACAGCCTGTTTACCTTTACTTCCTACAGCCTGTCTACCATTACTTCCTACAACCTGTCTACCTTTACTTCCTACAACCTATGTACATTTACTTCCTACAACCTGTCTACCTTTACTTTCTTCAGCCTGTCTACCTTTACTTCCTACAGCCTGTCTACCTTTACTTCCTTCAGCCTGTCAACCTTTACTTCCTTCAGCCTGTCTACCTTTACTTCCTACAGTCTGTCTACCTTTACTTCCTACAGCCTGTCTACCTTTACTTCCTACAACCTGTCTCCACTTGTACAGTTGCCCACTATTTGTCTCTACTTGTACATTTGACCACTTTCAAGTCTCTACCTGTACAGTTTCCCATTATCTAGTCTCTACTTGTACAGTTGCCTACTATCTAGTCTCTACTTGTACAGTAGCCCACTATCTAGTCTCTACTTGTACAGTTGCCCACTATCTAGTCTCTACTTGTACAGTTGCCCACTATCTGGTTTCCACTTGTAAGGTTGCCCACTATCTAGTCTCTACTTGTAAGGTTGCCCACTATCTAGTCTCTACTTGTAAGGTTGCCCACTATCTAGTCTCCACTTGTACAGTTGCCCACTATCAAGTCTCTACTTGTAAGGTTGCCCACTATCTAGTTTCTACTTGTACAGTTGCCCACTATCTAGTCTCTACTTGTAAGGTTGCCCACTATCTAGTCTCCACTTGTAAGGTTGCCTACTATCTAGTATCTACTGGTAAGGTTGCCCACTATTTTAGTCTCTACTTGAACAGTTGCCCACTATCTAATCTCCACTTGTAAGGTTGCCTACTATCTAGTATCTACTGGTAAGGTTGCCCACTATTTTAGTCTCTACTTGAACAGTTGCCCACTATCTAATCTCCACTTGTAAGGTTGCCTACTATCTAGTACCTACTTGTAAGGTTGCCCACTATTTTAGTCTCTACTTGAACAGCTGCCCACTATCTAGTCTCCACTTGTAAGGTTGCCTACTATCTAGTCTCTACTTGTACAGTTGCCAACTATCCAGCCTCCTATTGCACAGTTGCCCACCTTCCAACATCCTCTTACCAAGTTGCCCTCTATCCAGTCACCACTCATCAAGTTGCCATCTATCCAGCCTTCACCTAACAAGTTCCCCACTATCCAGTCACCACTTATCAAGTTGCCCACTACCCAGCCACCACTCATCAAGTTGCCCGCTATCCCGCCTCTACTCATCAAGTTGCTCTCTATCCAGTCACCACTCATCAAGTTGCCCGCTATCCCGCCTCCACTCATCAAGTTGCCATCTACCCATCCTCCACTCGTCAAGTTCCCTGCTATCCCGTCTCCACTCATCAAGTTGCCCTCTACCCATCCTCCACTCATCAAGTTGCCCTCTACCCATCCTCCACTCATCAAGTTGCCCGCTATCCTGCCTCCAATCATCAAGTTGCCTTCTACCAATCCTCCACTCATCAAATTGCCCTCTACCCATCCTCCACTCATCAAATTGCCCACTATCCCGCCACCACTCATCAAATTGCCTGCTATCCCGCCTCCACTCATCAAGTTGCCCACTATCCAGCCACCACTCATCAAATTGCCAGCTATCCTGCCTCCACTTATCAAGGTACCTGCTATCCCGCCTCCACTCATCAAGTTGCCCGCTATCCAGCCACCACTCATCAAATTGTCTGCTATCCCGCCTCCACTAATCAAGTTGCCCGCTATCCAGCCACCACTCATCAAATTGCCAGCTATCCCACCTCCACTTATCAAGGTACCTGCTATCCCGCCTCCAATCATCAAGTTACCCGCTATCCAGCCACCACTCATCAAATTGCCAGCTATCCCGCCTCCACTTATCAAGGTACCTACTTTCCAGCCTCCACTCATCAAATTGCCTGCTATCCCGCCTCCACTCATCAAGTCACCCGCTATCCCGCCTCCACTTATCAAGGTACCCGCTTTCCAGCTACCACTCATCAAGTTGCCCCTACCAGGCCATCTCTCTTAAAGTTACCCACTAACTACCCAGTATTTTGAAGGACAAGTTTTCTACTATTTACTGACCTCTTTGCTGTGAAATGAGGCCCGGCTAGATCATTACGAGTATATCATTGATATCTAATTGGTTTGTTGTTTGAAATTAAGGAAGCTTCGACTGGCAAACCAAAATGTGCGAGACCATGAACATGAGAAGGAGAAGGCAACAGTAGGTGTGAATTTTGATGGTGAGTCCTGTTTGTATAATTAATCTGTTATATTTTAATCTCAGACTAATATAATCTATTGTTCCTATGAGATGTAGACATAGTAATCTTAATCCAAGGGTAAATTGAAAAAAAATCATATATATTACTGAAGAGATGGGTGAGGGAATGAGTCTAGGTCGTTACCAAAGATTGGTGAGGGGCTGAGTTGGTAGGTAATTACCAGAGATGGGTGAGGGGATGAGTCGGTAGGTCGTTACCAGAGATTGGTGAGGGGCTGAATGGGTAGGTCGTTACCAGAGATGGGTGAGGGGATGAGTGGGGAGGTCATTACTAGAGATAGGTGAGGAGATGAATGGGTAGGTTGTTACCAGAGATGGGTGAGGGGATGAGTGGGTAGGTCGTTACCAAAGGTTGTTGAGGGGCTGAATGGGAAGGTTGTTACCAGAGATGGTTGAGGGGCTGAATGGGTAGGTCGTTACCAGAGATGGGTGATGGGCTGAATGGGTAGGTTGTTACCAGAGAGATGGGTGAGGGGCTGAATGGGTAGGTTGTTACCAGAGATGGGTGAGGGACTGAATGGTTAGGTCGTTACCAGAGATGAGTGAGGGGCTGAATGGGTAGGTTGTTAACTGAGATGGGTGAGGGGCTGAATGTGTAGGTCGTTTCCAGAGATGGGTGAGGGACTGAATGGGTAGGTCATTTCCAGAGGTTGTTGAGGGGCTGAATGGGTAGGTTGTTACCAGAGGTTGTTGAGGGGCTGAATGGGTAGGTTGTTACCAGAGGTTGTTGATGGGCTGAATGGGTAGGTTGTTACCAGAGGTTGTTGAGGGGCTGAATGGGTAGGTTGTTACCAGAGGTGGTTGATGGGCTGAATGGGTAGGTTGTTACCAGAGATGGGTGAGGGGCTGAATGGTTAGGTCGTTACCAGAGATGAGTGAGGGGATGAATGGGTAGGTTGTTAACTGAGATGGGTGAGGGGCTGAATGTGTAGGTTGTTACCAGAGATGGTTGAGGGGCTGAATGGGTAGGTTGTTACCAGAGGT